TCTACACCTCCATAATTTAAGCATGGGCTAGAAGGGAAGGAAATATTCTCCAGCACCCTGCATCTGTGATTTCTGAAGCAAAATCTGTGAGTGGTTAGACTACAATACGCGATAATTCGAAGGTATCTTAGAAAACTCTCTACAATTCGAACACTCACTGTCACGTACAGTCCTATATTAAACAGGTTGGACCTTACAAATTTTGTGTTGCATTGTCACTGCGTGTTTCTCCTGTAAAGTATCCTCTTTGACGATCATCTGTCTGCTACCCCTACTTAGTGTGTTCTGGTTCCTCAGGCGAAAAGGCACTTTTATTGCTTTTCTTCTTTAAGTGGACAATAGACCGACCGCACCTGTTGAGCCGAAAAAACTTCTTTCCCCTTCTTTTCCAAATAAAACTCAATTTCCAAACTTCAGCCACTGGAATAAGGAATCATACATAATTTCAAAATTTTTATCAGCGTGAAGAGTAGTTAAAAGCGTTTTGGATAACACATTGAAAATCACCAGAATGTAATTATCTCTTTTTTAACGGTTTTTATCATGTGTGATAAGGTTTGGAAAGCTGTCATTTCTTTGACAATTCAGAACTATTTTGAAAAGCTGGGTTTACTAAAGCTGAATCTGGTTGATGTGCATGATACACTTATGGAATGTAATACTGAACCATCCCTTTGGGAAGCTCTCCCAGTACAAGCTTTGACGTTTGACGACTACGAGAATGTTGAAACAGACATCGCTGAATGGGAAATATTATCTGATGTTGAAATTGTCTTTTTTGGACCGTAATAATACAGAAAGTGACGAAGACGAATCGGAGGAGTGGACTCCGATAATTCTGATAGAAGCTAGTGTCACTAAAACTACTGAACTTTTTTGTTCAAAATCATGTTGATGCGAACATCTTTCAATCTTTCTTTACTCTAGAAAATCTATTGACAAAGTTAGATTGAATGTCATAAAACAAAAGAAGATAACAGATTTTTGTCAAAAAAGATTAATTATGTACACACAGTATGTATTATTTTAATAATTATTTTTAATGCATAAATGTATTTTTTTATAATACTGGACTTTTAACTTCTGTGTGATATCTATACAGTATAATATGTGTACTATTTAAATATACTGTAAAATAATTTTATACATATATACAATTTTTGTTTTATTACATAGTTTCAAATTTAAATGTTCAGAAATCAAAATCGAATTTCTCTTAGTATATTTTGGGAGTTCTTTTTAACCCTCTTGATAATTCGAAGTTTTTCATTGGTGGGGGCCCCCCCCCCCAACTTCGAATTATCGAGAGCCGACTGTAGTCGGATGTACGAGAAGAATCTTTGGTCACTCATAGGAAAGAAATCTCAATTCAAAACGGATTTTCTGACTTTCTTAGTGGACCGCAAAGAATTCTTCGAGGGTTGAATGGGGCCGACGGCCATCCATTTGCTCACCCCTGTTGTACAATAATAATAATTTGCTTACAATAGCTAAGACTTATCTACAGAGTTGAACTAGGATTTTTGAAATTCATAATTCAAAAGGTGATTTATTCATTCATACTTTAATAGGTCAAAGTCGAGGAACTGTAACGAAAACACCTCTTTTTATTTCATTTGAGAGTAACTTAAAATAATGTGAATTTTTCCAAAATCCTGGTTCAGTCCGTGTACGGAAGTCCTAGCTATGTATAGGCAAGATATTATTATAGAAGCTTTTTTCATAAAAAGAGAATGACGTGAAAATATGTCTTTTTTTTTTCATGCCAAAGATTTATATTTAAGGTATCCGACTACGTTCGGAACCGTGATTTTTAAAAAGCGCATAAATGGATAATTTTCATGATATTTAGTGTCACTAAGATTAGAACACATGCATAAAATTGTTTTAAGGACATTTTGACAAAAAAAAATTATTTAAATACAATATTTTGGCAAAACATTAACTTTCAATAATCTTTTTTCAAAATGTTCTTCTTTTGTGAAAGATGCTTCTATTATATAATAATATTTTGCCTGTATATAGCTTAGACCTTTCTGCAGAGGCTCACCTAGAATGTTTGAAAAATTCACATTATTTTCAGAGTTACCACCCATTGAAATAATTATTGGCGTTTTTTTCTTAAAATTGTTCCCCTCTGTTGTAAAATATGGATAAACCCACTTCTAAGTTATATATTTCAAAAATTCTAGTTGAGCCTCTGTAGAGAGGTCTGAGCTATATACAGGCAAAATATTATTATAATAGAAGCATTTTTCACAAAAGGAGAACATTTTGAAAAAAGATTATTCTAAGTTAATTTTTTGCCAAAATATTGTATTTAAATAATTGTTTCTTGTTAAAATGTCCTTAAAACAATTTTTTACATGTATTCTAATCTAAGTGACACTATATATCATGAAAATTATCCATTTATGCGCTTTTGCAAAATCACGGTTCCGAACGTAGTCGGATACCTTAAGTAATTTTTTGTTATAATGCTCTAAAAATCTTTTATACGTATATACTAATTCAGGTGGTCCTAATGTCAAAAAAGTAATCATTTTTACGTTTTTGCAAAACCATGGCTTCAAACGTAGTCAGACACCTTGAAATTGGTGTCTTATTTTTATTGATCTTTAAATAATGATTGATAAGAAAATAGTTGAACGTACTAACAATGAAGAAAAATAATTTTTCTCCTCATTAATCAGTCAGAGATTGCTCATAGATACTACGAGTGTCACACAGTTGCAATATATTCATCATTGAAATGCCTTATTTAATCAACACACAGTCCTTATCTGCTTTTAACTGGTACGGGCAAACGAAAGCTGGTCACAATCGATTTGCCCGTAAGCTGCACGGGCACACACTGATATTTTCTCCTTTCAATCCTTGTGATTTGCACATATTTTTAATTCTAATAGTGATATTATTAGTGGTAGTATTTTTAAGAGATGCTGTTTGTCTATGGTACTGAAATACTTATCTGGGAATTTCTTTGTGGTAAAGGAGGGAATTAATTTTTCACACTGAAGGCAGGAATTTGGATTCTCGAAAAAATTCTATAAGAACAGGGACTGGCAAGGCAACGTGCAATTTGTTGCTTGAGAAGAAATGAAAATGGAAAGATTATTAAAAAAAGCCGATATTATCTCTGTCCCCATTGCAATGTTAGACTTTGCACACCATGTTTCAAATGATGTGTACATTTACGTATATGCACACACATACAAAACCCTCAATTGTTTGCCCATGAAAACTTTTTGCAAGAATGAGAAAAATTCTTTTAAGATGTATGGAACATTCTTCATAGCAAGTAAAGTGTACTTATAAAAATCAAACACAATTAGGATTTTTTGTGTTCCACAATTATAAAATAAAATATAGCGTGGAAACATTAAAATTGAAAATAAAAATAAAATTTTTCCATGTTTGATTTTTATTAAGTATTATGCTTAGTTATTTGCAATAAAAAATGTGCTTTTTTAGGGGGAAAAAATGATCGCTTAAGGGGTTAAATCTCAATCCGTCAGTCACTGAAGTCTAGTAGTGCACGATATCTCATTTCCTTGTTAAAATTTTGGTATCTTATTTTCACTCTCGCTCAATTTAAACGAAATACCTCATTAATATTCTAAAAAACAGGAAATCCAACACTTGTTTATATCAAAACAAAATAAAAACGTTAATTGAACGATTACGAATTCCAAAACGAATCACATGACGAGCAACACTTTTTCCCCACCCTCTTTAATAGTACTGTGAAAAAGGTTAAGGTTAAAAACTCCCATTTTCGCCTTGCACAGAACAACCCTGACGAAGTTTGTTGACAACCGCCACTTGGACGAGAAAAAGTACCGCGTTCGAATTCCTCAATACCAAACCTCGCGACGTCGTGTCGGAAGCTACACAACAACTTTACCAACTTCCTTACAGTCCCATTCGAAGTTTTTTGGCGACCGCCAAAAAGTTCTTGGCTTCTTGTGAAAGTGAGCCAGCGTCTTAAAAAAGACCCACTGGATTTGCTCCTGAAATCAGTTTAGACCACGTGATTCTTTGATCA